CAAGGAGCCGTGAATTTTAGTTAAGCTCCTAACTTCATCTTTTATACACATATGTAAGCAACTTTCTGAGTTTAGATAAAGCCTTGGACATATAACTTCTTTAGCTTCATGCTCTTCCTCAGACTTTGCATTGTATAATACCCGAAACCTCATAAGTGCATATATTACAAATCCTTCTGTCTTTTGCACGTTTGCTGCAAGGGTGGTCTATTAGTTTCCCAGGATTGACACAATAAAGTACCACAGACTAGGGGGCTTAAACAACAGGCATTTATTCCTTTACAGTTCTGAAGAATAGAAGTCTGAGATCTAAGGTGTCACCAGGGTTGGTTTCCTTGGTGTTAGATGTCTTTCTTCCTGTGTTTTCACGTGGTCTTTCCTCTGTGTGTGTCTGAGTCCTAATCTCTTCTTAGAAGGACACAAGTCACTTCCGATTAGAGCCCAACCATATGATCTCATTTTACCGTAATTATCTATTTAAAGACCCTATCTCCAAATACGGTCACAATCTGAGGTACTGAGAGTTCAGATTGTAGCATGTAAATTTGGGGGTGGTGTGTGAGAGGAAGGGACACTCTTCAGCATAAAGGAGGGAAGTATGAAGAAAAGGGAGCTGGTGATAAGAAAATTACTAAAGGATAGCTACTGGAACATTATTGAATATGCGGTTTCTACACTCAACAGGTATAAAATTGAAGTCAGTGTCACCCACTTATCCTCCCATAGGCACTTTTCTTCCTGCATTTTCTGTTTTAGGAAAACCCACCATCATCCAAGCAGTCACAAAGCCAGAACCTAGAATCATCTGGACTGTTTTCTCCAGTAAATCTCCCATGCTCTGTGAGCCCATAATGAGTCCTGCAATTCTGCCTCCATAATGCAAATTGATTCCTTCCCTCTTTTTTTTTTTTCCCCAAGGCCTCTTTCTTATTTTGGGCCATTCATAATTATGTGAATTACTCGAACGTTCTCCTAAACTGAACTCATTTCCTCAGTTCTGCCCCTTCTTCATATTCAAATCCATTCTTCAAATTACTCTCAGAATACTTTTCCCAGGAAAAAAAAAAATCTTGTGATGTCACTTTCAGATTACATTTTCCCAACAGTTTTGTTAATTTAAAGAATAGCATTCACATTTCTTAATTATAAAATATAATTCTTTCCCTTCAGTCTGATTGGTTGAACTTAAGTCACCCATTTGTTAACCCATTATCAGATCCAAGTAACTCAATACACTGATTGGCTAAGATAATTAAAATCTACTCCTTGGGTCACCTTCCCTGGAACTAGCAGGCTGTATGCGCAGGGACGGAGACCAGGACAAAATTTAAGATTTTGTTAAGGAGGAGAAAAGGAATAATGAATGTTACATATGCGATCAACAATGTATACTGCAGTTTGTTCCTTCACAGAATTTATAGTCTAGTGGTGAAGACAGAAAAATACAGTCTAAGTTCAGGTGTAGAGTGATAAGGACAAGTGTAGAGTTCTGTACACGGCCCACTGTGACCCAAAGGCTCCTTTCTAAATGAGATCATCAGTTCAAAGAAAGCTTCTTAAAAAGGAGGTGACGCCTAAACTGAATTTGAGAAGAAGGAGCAGGAGTTTGCAAATTGAAGAAGTGGGAAAGAGGCCTTCGAGCAGGAGGAACAGCATGTGAAAAGGCTCAAGGGTTGTGTAACAGTGTAACTTATTTCAGAGGTGCCCATCTTACAATCTGACCAGAGAGGACAAGAGATGAGGCCAGAAGGAGAGGCAGGGTCCATCAGGAAACATTATGTAAGTTTTGTTCTATAAAGCAATCTATAATACCTATTGCTACTCTATATGTAATGTTAACTTATATGCCAGACACTGTACACAGGCTCACATAATATAGCAATTTGACACTATGGTATAAACTACAATTGAAAGATGAAGAAACTGAGACTAAAAGGTTAAATGACTTACTCAAGGGCACATAGAGCTGAGCCTAACCATTCTTCTACAGGACCTTTCACCTAGAACTCAAACTCATGGAACTGGTCACCCCAAGCAATGACAATGACCAAAAATTAACGAGCTTGCAGGAATATATAGATCTGAGATACATTTAGCTATAATGAGGAAACATTTGAGAATGAAATATCTAAGGGAGAAGAAAAATCCTGTGTCTAATGTATATCCTCTTCTACTGAGAAAATTCTCAGAGGGACTGTTCTTTGGTATACTTGCCAGGGAAAGAACCCAAGAATCAGGTTCTGACCCAGGGTTTTTATTTTCTTATACCATCTGGATGTCATCAGTCATCGGTCAAATATCTTACCTCATGATCTGCTTGCTTCTGCTTAGAATGTCCCTTTCTCCTCCTTCAACTTGCTGACTCTTGTTCATTCTTCACAAATTCAGTTTAGGTGTCACCTCCCTTAGGAAACAGTCTTCAAACCCCTGGTCTGATTTAGAAAATAGCCCTGTGTCCACAGTGAAGCCTGTGCTGAACTCTATAGTCATCCTTACCACACTGCACCTTAACTGTGGCTTTAGGCTGTCTCTCTACCCCTTCACTCCAGACTACCAATTCCATGAAGATAAGGACATTGCCTACTTCCTTTTCCTCCTCCCTAAGAAAATCCTGATTTGGTTCGGGTCTCTGTCCCTCTTCCATGCAGTGCATATGACTCAAGGGAGGCTACCTCCTTCCACCTCAGGAAATGGATGTGATTGTTTGAGCCAGTGGTTCTCACCCAAGGATGAGTCTCCCTTACCCCTTGGAACATTTGGCAGTGTCTGGAAACGCATCTGGTTGTGACAACTGGTGTCTCCTACAGGCATCTGGTGGATAGAGGCCAGAGATATTGTTAAACGTTATACTATGCACAGGACAGCTTCCCCCTCTGCCCTCACCCCATCAAAGAATTATCTGGCCCCAAATGTCAATATAACTGAAGGGGTGAGACATCTTAGCTGAAGTCAATCTTTGTGTGACTTTGCTTCCTGACTGGTAATGGCATAAGGATAATTATGTGCCCAAAATGATCAATCAGGATGAAGTCAAGGACTGATATTTTATGATTGAGAGATAGATGATAAGGTTCGGAAGTCATACTATTATCACATTGCGGCAAAACAGTGTGATTATATTTATCCCATAATGGAGCAGGGAATGCCATGATTAAAAAGAGATTTTAGAAGAGCAGGTTTACTGTACAGCCTACAAGATAGATGGAAGGAGGCAGAACATGGAAGCTAGGAGGATTATGAGATAGCTCTAGCTACAGTCTGAGTGAGGTTACTTGGCAAGAGTTTCTTGTATATACTTAAATGATTAGCACAGCCCCCTAGACCTAAAAGAGACACAAGAATGTTTCTTGGATAGTTGGATGATAACTATTTTCTGGAACACAACAGATAAAAAAGCTATGATTCTGACCCAGTGTTCTTAATACTTAAAAATCTCTCACCATTTTGTCTATGGTTTCAGTGAAGAAAAATTGGCCAAGAGAGATGGCTTGTGCCTGTTATCCCAGCTCTTTGGGAGGTCATAGTGAAGACTGCCCGAACCCAGGAGTTTGAGACCAGGCAACATGAGCAGACTCCATTTCTACAGAAAAAAAAGGGGGAGAAAGAGAGAAAGGAAGAAGAGAGAAAGAAAAAGAGAGATTAACATATACTAAATTTCATATTTCTCTGTGTTTTAAATGGTGAAACTCCATTAGTACAGGAAAGAAAGAAAGAAAGATTCACATATATTAAATTCCATATTTCTCTGTTTCACATGTTGAGACTCCATTTCTAAAGAAAACGAAAGAGAAAGAAAGTTTAACATATACTAAATCCCATATTTCTCTGTATTTTGAAAGGACATCTTAGGGGAAGCTTTACATAAACATTAAAGTCCCTGTGTGTGTATGTGTGTATGTTTCCTTGTAGAATGACCTTTTGAACAAATGTTACTGGGATAGATTTTTGATAGTCTTTGATTTGAGGATGCACTCTTGGGTGGGTTTCTCTTCCAGCCTGACCCTAAGGTGAATGTCAAAGATCTCAATGTTGAGGTGCTCTTGACGAGCGTGTTGCGGTTCCAGAGCTGCAGAGAAGCCCCCAGGCCTCTCCCCTCTCCCACCACCCAGCCTACTCCTTACACCTTCCTTCCAGCACTTCCCTGGCTGGTGAGCTGACTTGAAGAGGTCAAGGGAATTTGTTGAACTTTATGTTTCTTTCCTTCGTTCCTAGCCGTGGCTGCCAAATAATCGTCTTATTTTTGCAGGAAAGTGACTGCAGTGTTTTACATTAATTCAGAGAAGCTTTCGGTGGGCTCCTTAAACATCACACCCTGTGCAGTCTAATAGGCATTTGTTGTGGCAGAGGTGCTGTTTTAAAGGCGACCTATGGTCCCAGCAACAAGCTTACAGAGAATTCAATGCATTCTTTTAGAATTGTGAGTGTAAAGTATTGCTTTTTAAGGTTTGTTATTTCTGTACCCAGTATGTTAAATCCAAAACATAAGATATTCTGTAAACATATGTTTAAAAATTGAGTTTTGTAAATTTACCTTATTTTCTTTGTTGCAATGGAAAACATTGCGTTCACTGATTAGGGGAAAAGTGGATAGCAAATTTAGTAGCCCCCATGATCCTTTATATATTTTTTTCTTGGCAAAGCAATTAAATTAGGAAATAATCTTCTCCGCTAACATCTGACAGTTACCATAAAATGATATCCTGCTTTATTGGCAACAAAACCAGTTTGTTTGAGTTTGTTGCAACATTTTGAGCTATTACATTACTATGAAAAGATAGATTTTAAATAAGAAAGACGAGTTTACAAAAATCAGAAATGGCAAAGCGCTTTATTTTTTAAAGCAATCCTCGATTTGAAAAAGTCCAATTTCAGAGGGGCAGCGTGTTAAATCCTTCAGGGAAGGAGAAGGAAGCACCAGGGGTGTCTGTCTTGGCCCCATCACGCCAGGCCGCAGCTCTTGCTGGCTGTGCGCGTGTGACTGTGTGCACGTGTGTGTGTGCACGCGCAGCCACAGGACCTCTGGGGCCGGCCTTCGGGGACGCTCCCCGCCCCGGGCTTCCCCACCAAAGGGAGCGGGGAGACTGCGGGGTCCGACCTGGGGCAGTGTGCAAAGGCAGGCAGTGCGGGCTCTTTGTGTGTCCTTGAGTGCGGCTCCGCGCCGCCGCGGGCACCATTTTCTGCTTCGCCCAGGACAGGCACATAAAAGGAAGGCGGCTGCCGCCCGTCGCCGTCCTCTTTCCCTCAGATGCCCTCTCTGCAGGTTTATTATTACAGTACGGGCCGCGCCGCCTCTCCCCACCGCCCTGGCAGGCCGCCGGGCTGTGCAGCACCCTGGCCGCCTTCACGCCTGGCGCACCCCCAAACCGCCTCCTCCGCCTCCTTATTTGTCTGAAAAGCAACTGCACGTCGAGGCGAAGAGGCTGGCCGGGGGCGGGGAGGCAGGCCCTGGGTTTGCGCGCGCCGAGCTCCCGGGGCGGGGCCGGGGCCGAGGCCGGAGAGCTGCGGGTCGCTTTGTCTTCCCGGGTCTCCACGCAGCGCAGTGGGGGTGGCGCAGCGAGCGGGGCGCCCCGGGGCGCGGGTGCGGGGTGTCGGGGCGTGCGCGCCTCTTGGCCGCTAGCCGACGGTGCCCTGAGCCGCCGATTCCTGCCGAGTAAGCAGTCTGGCTCCTAGGCGGCTGCACAGTGGCAGCAAGGCTGGGGCGCTGGCTCCGCGCCAGCTCCATCAGAATTAGCTCATTGTTCACTAGCACACTAGCGGAAGAGAGAGGGAGAGGGAGAGAGAGAGACTCTTAGAGAAAGAGAGAGAGACACACACACACTCTAGGAGAGAGAGCGTGAGGCAGGGAGATCATCTCCTCCTTTTTCCAAGGCTGCACTTCTTGGAAGTGAAGCCGGTTTGGGTTTTGTTTCCCTTCCCCCTCCTCCCTCCTCTTCCTCCACCCCTTTCCCCTCCCCCTCCCTTCCCACAACCCCCCCTCCCCCACAAGCTGTCTTTCTAGCATGATGCCCTTTTTCATCCACATTTGTGTTTCAGGTGTAGAGAGGAGAGAGAGTGAACAGGGAGCGGGGCTTTTGTCTGTAAGTATATACCATTCCTATCCCCGGCTGGGAGCGCTGCTTTCTCTTTTGTGTCGATTCCTTGCCGTTGCTCTTAGCTGGACCCTTCAACCCTGCAGAGTTCATGCTTCTTCCCTCTAAATTTTAAAGAGCTGAAGCGTGTACCTTGGAGAAATTCTGGCATTTTGGTCGTGCCGCATTCAGGCTGGAATTTAACTTGAGCTTTTTCTAAAATGCACAAGTTTAGAGGGAGAAATGAATTCTTTTGGGAAGGGGTGGGGTTTTGTGCTTGGTGGTGTGGTTTATTTTGTTCTTCTTGCTCCTAAAGCATTGTTGGAAACTGTGGTGTTTCTTTGCATTAAATGCACTTTCGTGCATGCAAGCTTTTCCTCCCCTTTTATAAAATTTGTTTGTGTCCCTCCGTCCTTACACTTGATCACTCTTTGAATGCTGCTGCTGCCGAGGGTCGTCTTAGGCGTTCGATCTTGCAGCACTTTTTTCTGCATTTTCTTATAAAGCAGTTGAACTTTGACGGGGAGGGCCTTAAAAATAAATGACTGTTTTCTTCTTGGTGATGATAATAATCTGATTTGCATTTATGTGTATCTATAACATTATAGGAAAACATTTAGAGCTTATGATACCCTTTTTGAGAACTTTTAGTTTCTCCATTCATCTTAATTTTTGTCCTAACTGTTAACAAAAGAGCTGTCTTCTGATAACAGAAAGGTTGAGGGTAAATCACTGCAGTATGTACATTAATGTTTATTTGGTTTAGGGAGAAGGACATAATGGTATATATTCCTGACTGCCCCCTCCCCCCCCCCCGGTAGGTTTTTTTTTTTTTTTTTTTTGAACACGGAAGGTTATGTAATGCAGTGCCATTTCCAAAAATATCCACTCTGAGGCATTACACTACACGGTGGAAGGCTGATTCCTATTCTGTCGTTTTGATTGCAAATATACTGCCAGTAGTATGTCTGGGAACAAAGAGCAGCCAGAAAACAATCTATTTTTATCACTTGGTTCTACTTTTAAGTTGCTAAACCTTTTGAACTCATGCAATTTAAAGATGAACCAAACACTAAGAATAGCCCAGGACTCTGCAAAGCCAAGTACTAGGGATTCCTTTGTCCCCTATTTAAGCCTATAGGCCACTTGGAAAGCTCTTTCAGAAATCCCAGTAGTTAACAATAATTTGCATGTAACAACCACAGAAAATGGTTTTTCATATGTAACCTCCAAAGAGGCATTTTTCATTTGCTGACCTGTGGTAAGGCGCTGTGTCTACTGTATTTAAACATATTTTGCAGGTTGGTCTCCCTGGACTGAAGAGAGGGAGAATAGAAGCCCAAGACTAAGAATCTCAAAATGGTAAGATTTGGTCATCAGAGGAGATTCTCAGTACTTCTTATCAGTCTATTACATGTAAATTTCAACCATCCACCATCATCCTCCTCAACCCTTCATTATTCCTACACCCCATCTGACCGTAAAAGGTTCTGTCTCCAGCACCTGGGAGCATTGCAGTACAGCAATTTACGTGAATTGGATCTGACAAATTAGTTCTTTTGATTTGCTATTATTTTGAATAGAAAACTAAAATTCGTCTTTTGGAAGTGGAGATTTATTTAATTTGAACAACAGAAACTACTCGGTTTTTTTAGGAAGAGTGATGTGTTGTGACACGCATGGAAGTGGTGACAGCAGTAGGACTCAAACAAAGCCTTGGGTCTTAGAGCCAGCCCCAACTTATCCAAAACTGAGGAGTCTGTCCAGCCGATCAAACAGCTACTGCATGTACTAGCCTTTAGCGCAATACAGATGAAAAGCATGAATTTTTCTATTAATATACCCCATCTATTTAACATAATTACTGTCATTTTTTCTTGATTTATAGCTTCATTTATGAGAGACATCTTACTCAATTTTAGATGTCTCTAAAATTTTAGTCAAGCATGTTAACCTGTAAATAAAAGTATAACTATTTCTGACAAAGCTTATGATCCACAGAGAATGCAGTTTAATGTTTGACTGCTGACAGAAGGCATACACATTAAAAGCAGCTGAATAAGTATATTAATCATCTATGAAAAATGTCCTCTTTGGAAATAAGATTAAAAAAATAATAGAAATATAATAAAACTTTTTAGTGAAGTACAGCGTGTCCTACTGCAGATGTTTATACTCTTTAAAACACCCCTTTGTCACTTAGAATGTGTGATATCCAAATTTAGATTTAGTTTTTTTCTTTTAAACGAGGGTGGAATTTAATGAATCAAAATTTAGTCTGATATCCTTGATGTTTTCTTTGAGATCAACCCAAGTATAAGCTTCCAAAGAGAAAAATGAATCAGGCAGTTAAATGAGTTCAGTTTGACTGTTATTAACAAGTGTTTTATTTTTTATGTGTGCCTCACTTGTTATTTCAACAAGTGGTATCAAAGCAGGTCATGAAGTAGGTCTTGCTTGGATCATGTTGGAAAATGATCAAATTAAGGAACTTCAGGTAGAAAAAAAGAAGTGAACATAAAATTAAGCTAGTCAATGGATTTCATGCAAATGGTTCCTAACTTCACATTAAATTCTTAATTAGTTGTCATAGAATAATAGGATGGTAATAAAATCAGCTGCTCGAAAGTATTTGTATTTTCTTAATTATTTTTTACTGTGATTGGCCACATCAACCTTGCCTCCAAGCTCGTTATCTCAGAACCTTACCTACTTTCTGTGATCATAAATAGATCACAGAGGTTCATGTATGTTGCAATATGTGAGGTGACCAGTTTAAACATAAATATGACTACTCACCCAGCCAAAGCTAACTCTATAGATCAAGGTTAAGGAGTAAGATATCATGGTTCTGTAGTAGTAAGAGGAATGAGCTTTGTAGAAGTCAAGCATGCCTGCCAAAGCAGAGAGTGGAAGTTGGAGCCATTTGAATGCAGAAAAGCAAATGCAAATTATTATTACATGTTAATTTTTTGCAGTTGTCATTTATGTATGGTGGCAGAATGGGAAATCACAATTTGTTGCTCCTGGAAGCATTTTTACTCATGAAAATATTCTCACAACTTTTTGGTGATCCTTTCATCAAGATGTCAGTCCCTTTTGGCACAAGCCCATTGCCTGAAATGAAACCACTGACAGTTATTGTCTGTGGGTGATTCCAAGTAACTTTCTAGCAATTCTCTTTTTCCAGAACGTCTGAGATCTTAAAAGTCTTTGCACAAATTAATGTAAAAAAAAGTTTCACTTTTTTTTTTTTTTTTAAGAAGTTATATTAGAGGTGTCTTGTATCTCCTCTTTCTCCCTTTTGGCAAAATCAAGTTAATTTTCTTTCCTTGATTAAAACTGGAATTACTTTGTGGACCTCTGTAACTGGCTTACTTAAAGACTTGGCCCACATTCAATAGAAACTGCAGCTAGTGAAGCAGTAGATTGAACTCCTGGACACCTCTAGAAAATATGTAAGCCTGGTTTTCCTGTTTGCATTTCCATTTACATAATTTAAAACACTAAAGAGGATCTAATTTCAGTGTATTTAACCTATTTAGTAAAGGGCTTATTTCAAATACAAATTTATAATCAGCTCATTTTAGTGTAAGAAATTATCCAGTACATTCCAGAACTCATAACATAGTGATTCAATATCTAGACTTTTTACATACCTAAAATGATAGCGTTTTACAATAATAATGTGGAGACACATAAGGATTCTTGAATGCCTTCCATATCATCAAAAAAATATAATCAACTTGTGCAGCTCTAGGAGGTGTGTCCTGTGTATGGGGCTCCTTGAGCACAACTGCAGGAAGTGCTATTTACATAGATTACAGTTGTGCATGGTGGCATCTGGGGTTTTGCAACTCAAGAGTACTGTTCTAAGTGTCAATTTTGAGTATAGTTTGCTGGATCTTACTTGAACAGAATTTTTTTAAATAACTCATTCCCCAGCTTTTTGTTTTCTAGTAAATGTGCCTCTCCCACCCCTACTTTTTTTTTTTTTTTTTTTCAATTAGCAGGATATTGAGTCTTCAACATTTCTTTAATTTATATTTGGCTTTTTGCTAAATTTTAATTGCTATGATTGTATTTTCCGTGATTTCTTACTATTTAGGTATTCTATTTTAAAGGTACCTGCTTCAGATAGGTTGAGAAGAAAACATTTCAAAATCAGTAGATGATCCTATTAAATAGTTTGAAAAACTAAATTATTTAATTAATTGTCAAGGTTAAGTCCTGGTTTTCAACATGATTGCCTTCTACACAGTAAACTTGCCTCTAAGTGTGTGTGTGCCATGGACTGACAGTGGCATAAGCATGGGCTTATTACATTTTAACAGGGACCTAGAAATTCGAACAATATAAGTTCTCTTTAAGACTGATGCTGAGCTTTTAAAACAGATGAGTTGACTCCATTGTATCATTCACAGAGCTCTGCTTTTTGTACAGTCTGAAGTGGCATTCATGGGTTTACAAGAAGACCCTTTCAATAATCTCTCCATTAACATAAGGTTTCCTTGTTTAAAGAAAAAGACAAAGATTGGGGAGGGATGAAGTCCTATTCATAGCTTGTGCCATTGGGTTGAGAATGTAAATGTGCCAGTTGCTCAGTGACTTTTGATGGTGAAGATGCTGAAGTGTACCTAGGAGGGTAATTTTATATGGTACTGTCTTTTTCACCAGTTTCCAGTGAATGGTGAGGGGGAGAATTGGGAGTTGTTTGGGGAATTAGGACAGTAGGGATAGTCTATTTGGGTTAAGCCAGTCCAGCTTCCTCTTGAGCTATAGAGATAATTCAGGTAGGAAAAGGTATTTGAGCAGCAATCTTGGAGTAAACAGCTGTTCCGAGTATCATTCCATTTTAACCCGATACAGTTCTTTAAAATATGTAAAGCAGATCATAATCATAAATACACTGAAGAAATTCACTTTATTATAAATCCTAAGATGAATATTTCTAAAATAGGAAAATACACTTCTAAAATGTGAATACTCTGCCGAACCAAATGAGTAATACCCAAATTTATACATGGCTATTAATGAATTTTATGCTTTGAAGTATTCATTTACCTGGTCAGTTAAAGACCTGACGTAGCATTCAGATGCACTGGGCTGACTGGCGATCCTTGGTGTGAAATGCCATAGCTCCCTGGGTCCTACATATTTTTATTAGTGTTGTTCCTGGATGGAAAGCCTTTTAAGGCTATATCCTCACAGCCAAAGTGAAATGGAAGATTGAAATAATTATCTGAATAATTATGCTCAAAAAATTGATTTTGTCTGATTCATCTTGGTAATTCAAAATGTTGCTGGAGTGATGTAGGAGTGGGAAGGATTTGCCTGAATTATCCATATAATTCCTGTATTATAGAAGAAAAAACTGGGGATAAGGAAATCTTACCAGCAAATCCAATCTGAATATACCAGAGGAAAATGTATTGAATGTACTTGGACAGTGTCATCTTGGTTGATGAAGATATATTACAATCTATCAATTTTAAAGGGTTCCTCTACTTCAAACTAGATATCAGGTTAATCATAAATTCTTAGTCCACATCTGTAGAAATTATGATTGCTAAAAATATCATTTATTGGGTGTAAATTTATTTGAAATGGACATTTCTGGAATATATTTTACACCTAGGAAGAGCTTCAAGAATAGTTCATCTTAGTGATTTAAAAAATAGCAGTGATCCTGAAATTGATCTGTTAGTGCATAAGTATCAACTGCCCTAATGGTCTGGGACGTAAGCATTAACATGGCTCTCAGCTAAATTCTAAATATCAATTCAGTTATTAGTAGTAATACCATGGTATTAACCAGGGTGGCATTATTTGTTAGTTGGATCATATGCATTTCTTTTTTTGCTCAACTAAATTATAGGCTTCCAGAGGATTTATAAACTTCATATACAGTGCTTGGTAAAGTATTAAATATATGGTAGAAATTGAATAAATATTTGGCCTATGCATCCTAACATCTATTAAGTTGAATTTTTAAAATCCATTCTTAGTGACTTAATCATATTTAGTTTTGTGAACTGGAAGTAATTTGTATTTTCAACCTCTTTTTTGAAAGGTATAGGAAGCCAAAATGAATGCAATTTTAGTTTACACAACAAATTATTTTCCATTATTAAAGGGATAAAACAAAATGCAGTGAAACCATAAAGTGTGGCACTTGCCAGAAAAGCGTGACTTGTGATGGCTCACCTTTCCCAGCTTCCAGTGCTACACTCTGACAGTATGGTGTGATGCCACCTCTCTGGGTTGGATCCCGCTGTTGTATTTAAAGCTCACAGCAGCTTTTCCTGCAGTGTGGATCCAGGAGGATCTTTACTCCCAGTATTGGAACTTTATAGCCTCGG